CCCCCGGCCCCCGCCGGCCCGGCCCGGCCTGAGCGTCGCGCTTGGCTTTCAGAAGCACGACCTGGAGGTCGCGGTCAAATGTATCAACAAGAAGAACCTGGCCAAGTCGCAGACCCTGCTGGGAAAGGAGATCAAAATCCTCAAGGTGAGCCGGCGCCTGGCTGCGGGCAAAGGCCGGGCCGGCTCGGGCCTTGCTCACCAGAAACTCGGGTCTCTGTCCTAGGAATTAAAGCATGAAAACATCGTGGCCCTGTACGACTTCCAGGTAGGGCGGCCCGCGGCCGGCTGGGGGGGCTGACCCGTGCACACCTTCAGGCCCCGGGCTGCCCAGTGTGGAGCCCCTGGGGGCCGAGACAGCTCCAGGCCGGCACCAGGCCAGCACCTGGTGTGGGCAGAAGGATCGGGCAAGGGTGCCCGAGGCCCAGTGGGCCCTGGGATCCCATCTCTGGTCCATGTCTGACTGCTTCCCCTGGGAGCCGGGGATCCCCCAGTGCTTTCGGCTGCCTGGATGGGGAGGGGGCTGTAGCAGCAGTGGCGGACCTCTGGCCCGCCGGCCTGGTCATGTAGGTGTGCTGAGTTCCCGGTGACCCGGCCAGGGCGACCCCCTCCCTCGTGTCTGACCTAGTGGCCCTGACTGACTGAGTCCACTGGCCCAGGCAGGCCCACCTGTCTGGGCTGGCTGCTTGTTTGTTGACATTGCTTCAGTGGCTGGGCATTGGACGGTCTCTTCTGCGTCAGACGCTGGGAGGGGGAGGGGTTGCCGGAGATTCCTTCTGGCTGGCATTTGGGGCCGCGCCCGCTGGGCTGGCTGCCCTGTGGCCGGAGGGGGCCACCTCAGACCTGCACCCCAGTGAGCAAACTGGCGGACCAGTTAGCCAACCCCCCCCCCCCCCCCCGCACCTTGTCCAGAGTAGGGGCTCTGGGCTTCCAGACCAGGAGCCCCAGGCAGGACTGCGGGACAAAGTGCTGACTAATGGTTTTGAAACCTGTTTACTGGGGCCACGGGGCCAGCCCTGGCTAAGGAAGTTCCCAACGGTGGCTGTGTTTTGGTGGCCTCCCTCCTCTGTGCTCCTCCCCTGTCTCCTCCTCTCCTGCCTCCTCTCATGAGGTGACCTGTGGGCAGGGCCTAGGTCCAGTGTGACCTAGAGTACCTGGAAACTGCTGGAGACATTGTGTTCTGTATTCGGAGGCTGCTGTCCTTTCTGCCTGCCTTCTTTCCCCTCCCCCTGCCCCTCTCTTTGCAGGAGCCTGCCCGAGTTGTCTTCCTCCTTTTCCTTACGCTCATCCACCCTTTCTCCCCACCCACTCCCTCCGAGAAAGCTCTCAGGGCCACACCTGGGTGGCCTCAGGCCCCCAGCCCACAGACTTAGCCTCACTCCCGGTGTTGCCGCTCTCAGCACTCTACGGTGCTGTCCTGCCTGGACGTCAGGGGTGGGACTGGACTGATGTGGGCTGGCTCCTGTGGCCATCTCTGTTGCCACTTCAGCACGTTCCTCGTGGGCCCGCTGCATTCATCCACACACCTGACGGACGGACGGGGCAGCTGCCACTTCCTCCAGCGTTGACAACACTTCCTTTGTTTGGAGGAAATACTGAGCATTGTCAGCCCTAGCTTTCGCCTTGCATTCCAGGGACTTTGCCACTTTTAGGTGTGTGTGATTGTTGCTTTAAATCCTCAAGACTTTCTTTTTCCTTTTTTTGTTTTTTGGGTCCGGTCGCGGGGCCTGAACTCTGGGCCTGGGCGCTGTCCCTCAGCTCTTCAGCTCAAGGCTAGCGCTCTACCACTTGAGCCACAGTGCCACTTCCGGCGTTTTTCTTTTTTCATATGTGGTGCTGAGTAATCGAGCCCAGGGCCTCTTGCATGCAAGGCAAGCGCTCTACCACTGAGCCACCTTCCCAGCCCTCCTTTTTCCTTTTTTAATGTACTGGGGTTTGAACTCAGGGCCTTGTGCTCACTCAGCCTTCGTGCTCAGATGGCATGTTCTACCACTTGAATGCCAGCTTTTTCCTTGTTGTTTGGTTGTTGTTGTTAGCCTTAGGGCTTGAACTCTAGGCCTGGATGCTGTCCCTGAACTTTTGCACTCTAGGCTAGTGTTCTACCACTTTGAGCCACAGTGCCACCTCTGGCTTTCTGGTGGTTACGTGGAGATGGGTCTCACAGATTTTCTTGCCTGGGCTGGCTTGGAATGGTGATCCTCAGATCTCAGCCTCTTGATTAGCTCGGATTACAGGAATGAGTCATAGATGTCTGGCAAATGATTTGCTTTTTAAAAAAAATATTTATTGGCTGGGAAGGTGGCTCAGTGGTAGAGTGCTTGCCTTGAATGCATGAGGCCCTGGGTTCGGTTCCTCAGCACCATGTAGCAGAAAAAGCCGGAAGTGGCGCTGTGGCTCAAGTAGTAGAGTGCTAGTCTTGAGCTGAAGAGCTGAGGGACAGCGCCCAGGTCCAGAGTTCAGGCCCCATGACTGACCAAAAACTAACAAATTATTTATTTACTTACTTACTTACTGGGTACTGGTGGCTCAGACCTGTAATCCTAGCTACTGAGGAGGCTGACATCTGAGGATCACAGTTCAAAACCAGCCCGGGCAGGAAAGCCCATGAGACTCTTATCTCCAATAAACCACTGAAAAACTGGAATTGGCGCTGTGCTCAAGCCATAGAGTGCTCGCCTTGAGCTGAAGAGCTGAGGGACAGTGCTCAGATCCAAAGTTCAAGCCCCACGACCCACCCAAAAAGATTATTTTTATTAAGTAGTTGTACAAAGAGGTTTCAACTTCAGAAGTCAGGTCATAAGTACAACGCATCCTGCTCGGTATCACCCCTTCCATCCTTCTCCATCTCCCCTCCCATTCCTACACTCAGGTTATGTAGTTCAACTTTTACACGGTGTACATTAAATGTAATGACTGCATTTTCTCACATTTTCCTCTATTTGTGCACCTCCCTTCTTGTCTCTCCCACAACATGTTTCAGCTTCCTGGTATTTATTTTGTTAAATTGAGTTAAACAAAGGAGTTACATAATTGGACTTCTTCCCTAAGTATACAGTCCTTTAGTCAGTTTGTGTGTATATGCATCTATAAGGTTGTGCATGTTATCATGTGTATTTGTATATTAGATCTAAGAGAAAATATTGCTGGAGGCCAGTGGCTCAAGCCTGTAATCTTAGCTACTCAGGAGGCTGAGATCTGAGAATCTCCATTCAAAGCTAGCCCGGGCAGGAAAGACCATGAGACCCGTCTCTCCAATAAACCACTAGAAAACCAGAAGTGGCGCTGTGGCTCAGGCGGTAGAGCGCTCGCCTTGAGCAGAAGAGCTGAGGGACAGCGCCCAGGCCCAAAGTTCAAACCCCACAACCCACCAAAATAAAAATAAAGAGGGGCTGGGAAGGTGGCTCAGTGGTAGAGTGCTTGCCTTGCATGCATGAGGCCCTGGGTTCAATTCCTCAGCACCACATAAGCAAAAAGAAAAAAGC